CTGCTTCTCTTACTTAGGTAGCTGCGTGACCAACGACGGTAGCGCATCGAAGCAGACGATAATGCTGATGATGATGAAAATAATGAAAAATAATCGCTTAATTGATTCGTAATTAACTGAATGTTAGGCTTGGACTGAGTAAAACAGGACTTACCGAGACACACAGGCTGCTCGACAAAGCGTTCGGATATCCAGATAAGAGAAGATATGCAACAAGACTTCATACTGAAAAGGGGAATAGGTAGAGATGAAGACGGAGAATGCGTATCTTACACAAAAAATATGGATCAGATGCAATAAATTAATAAAAAATATGTAAACAGTTTTTGACATTGAATGGTTTACTATCACGGTTCGCAAAAGTAAAAACGGTGGCTTTCTGAATGTAAATAAAGTAGCCGGGTTTGGATATTTCCAACCGGGTCACAGCCCTGGAGGGTAACGCTGAGATTAGCTGGGTGCGATGACCGCAACAAGCTCGTAAGGATGGGTTGTGCTATATCGCGTATATGCAAAATGAAACCGGTATGATCATCAGCCTGGTGGTCGAGCGGGTAGTCGTTTGCGTTCTACCTGATGTCCAGGGTCTGATTCCAAGTTGGGTTGATGGATTTACACTGCTGAGAATCAATCAGGCCGAAGCAGGGGTACAGTGAGTCCCATCTCTTCAATTCACGCTTAATTTGCTCTAGACACGATCAAATCCACTAGATAATTGAATCAAATCCTCCACTACTCTGATATGCATAAAGCATTCCAAACAGTGAGATAACGGTACTTTTGCTCTGCACTAAGCAGAAGTGAACAGCAGTGAGTAGCTACGTCCCGCCCCGCCCCCCACCAACTTATCAGCATTTAACTCACCACCGAATATGGATCCATAATTATCCATTTTTTTTATTTGACTTTACCCATATAGTAAAATAGTACAAGGAACGATTTGCAAATATAATCTTTTGGGCCAGCCATATCAGTTGAAAAGAAATTAATCCAAAATGAAAACATATGAACCTGCTGAATCTGCTGAACATATGAACCTGCTCAGAAAGAAGAGAAGTGTCCAAAGCTAACTCGGAAGAAACTGGCTAGGATTCGCGCCGCTGGCCGATGTACTGATCAAATCGTCGATCTCTGTCAGCTACTTGAACACCGTTAGGAGCGAGGAAGGTCAACTATAACAGATTTTCTCAACATCAGCACAATTCTAACGAGATACGTATGTGCACTTTCACCGTTTGAACTTTTCTCTCGGGTTACGAGACCTGGCATTGATGGCTTACATTGTGCAACCACAACTGCATACGAATGGAGGCATATTTGCTCATTTGACCAAGAGGAACAACGAAGAATATTGGGTTCAGATAATCGTCCCCCAAGCGAAAGACTAAATTACAGTGCCTTCGGTATTTTGAGCTGATACCAAGCATGCCTACCGACCGCCTTCCGTACCGATAGCTGTTGATTTGGCATTACTGGAAGAACCGTCACGGTGGTCAGCTTCTGGCTCGGTTCCAGCGTATGGAGGAGACAACCGCAACACTGGCTCAGATCGGTCTTTCCAGCCATTGGGTCGGGTTCTGACAGACAATAAATGCTGCTCATTAGAAATTCCACAGGATGAGGTTCTAAATAAAAATCCATGGCGTGAATGCCATAGACGTTTAGTGTGAATACTTGGGACCCTCTCCTAAACTAACATAAGCGGAAGGGTCGAAAATTCTCCAAGTCGTCTCAGTTGTAAAACGCTATTAAACGGCCCACGCTTCGATGTTTAGTCGAGTTTTTTTATTTTATGAAGGGCGCGTTTGAAACGCCTCCAAACACTTTCCGGAAACCGTGTTTCTGAAACTGGCTATGTTAATGCCTATCAGTGGACAGTTTAGCGTAAAATTTACGCGATTATGAATGTGTGGGTTAATAGTGCTGACTTTCCAATGGCATATTTCCAACCGGTAAAAGTTGTCACTTGGCACACAAAATGATATGATCCAGCCAAGATTATCGAGGGACACAATGATTTCTGATTGATTCCAAGGAATTTTATTAGTACATTCAAGAGGATGGAACCAATAGCCCAATGCTTTGGAACAAATCAGTATAAAAATTCATTTATTCATTCTGCTTGGAACAAAATGCAAGACGTATAGGAAGCTCATGGCCATGAACCCACTCATGGAAAAACGCATATAAACATCCAGATAATAGATCCGTGTCGCTCCGGTGAATTAGCTTTCTGTTTGTTCGATCGTTTGCTCCTGATTGAAGTAATTTGCTTCAACGAGGTCGCTCACCAACTGAGTACATTCACTCAACGCTTTTGATATATATGCCATGAGCGCTGAGAAAACTACAGCCCAATTCGAACGACGAAAAGTCTTCAACCTAATCGTTCGGCTCCGCTACCAGGCGGAAAAACACGGATTAATTTGTAGAATTTGAAGAAGACGAATTATCGCCGGTATCCGATGTGATGTGTTTACCCTAGCTCATAAACAATGCGGTATGAACTCCGATTACAAGGTAGTCTGTTCTGCAAATATATTCCTACGTATTTGCAAAATATAGCGATGTAGACGGGTAGAAACAAAGGCACGTGACCGCTCAGTGTTTTCTTCACTCACGTGAATCGATCGATATGCCTAGATGTAGTCAGCTGGACGGGTAGGTAATTCGAATAATCAGTGCCCTGCAGAGGACAAATCCTTTATCAATAAGACAAATAGGAAAAGCAGAAAGTGAAAAACAGCAAATTTCTCCTCTAATCTGACTAGATGACTACCGTTAGAAGCTATTCATGCATCTGTTGCTTGCGGAAAACTAACCGTTTTCTAAGTAAACGATCACTCCCAATGACATCAAACAAGGCTGAAACAACTGCACACCCCTATCCGGCTTCGCATCCACGCTTTCTTTGATCTCAATCTGCAAGCAACAATATCATTTCATCAATAAAATCAAGGATGAGATCAACGTGTGTTTTACTATTTCATAAGAATGATTTACTGTTCACGAAAAAATAGTCACTTTGACATCCTATTGTAGCTTTTGGTGGAAAAAAAAACGAAAAACCGGAAATTCTCAAGTGATCGTGCAGCTTGTTCACATGTGTGGCCTTGGGAGGGGGGGGAGCTGATGTAACTAAAAGTTAGGGCGATCGTCCCTAGTTCATTGAGTGACATTATGTATGGTACATAATGTCACTCAATG